GCGGTGCGGTGCGGGACGGGCGCCCCACCCGCGCCGGCTGACGTGTCTTTAGCGTCTGCGCCGCCGGGCCGACCTCATTCATTGCTGGCGCTCCTGCCCTCCGCGCGGCTTTTTCCGTTACAGCGGCCTTTTCCCTGGCCGTCCGTCTCTCTCATCGGCACCTGACCACTGTGTTCCTTCGGAGACTTGATTTCCAGCAAACTCCCCGCGTGCTGTCGAGTTGTCAGCCTCTACTCCCAGGCGGAGCGAAGAGTCCCTGTGGGACGGCGCTCTTCTGCCCTCCCTCTCCGTTCGGACTTGGGTGCCCATTTTGTCTTGGTTGAAAGCATCCTGTGTGCCAGGAAAAGTCTACTTAGGGCTTCACTTTTTCTTTTTAAAATAGGTTTATTCCTTCTCACTTGGGATAAAGATAGCTTAGATGATAGCATATAGAAAATGTGGAAATTTGGCTTCTTTCTCTTATTATCATGAACTTCGATTTTCTGATTTGTAAAATGAAGAATTAGTTTTAAGTAATCACTAGGATTCCTTTCCATTTTACAAGTTTAAGCAGTCTGTGTGGCATAATGAATGACAATTTTCAGTATTGCCAGGAGGGGTCTGGCAAAGAAAAATGAAGCGGTTGGCTCTGTTTAGTGGCTAAGTGTAACTTCAAATGACTATGTTCGAGATTTTTAAAAACTGGGTTTTGAAGATGACTTGTAATTTATTAGTGTACTGTTTTAGTCTTTGTTAGCCGCTAAGAACTCAAAGACATGAGAAAGGCTGAAAATGTGTGGTCTTAATTAATATACACTGCTTTTCCTGGACTTGCACATGCGTCCCTTCCTGCGTTTTTTTCCCTACTGAACTGCCACATCATCCGTTTCTGAGAAGTAGTGGAAGAGTTGCTAGAACTTTGGAATGCTTCTGAGGGTCTCACCTGAAATAGATGTAATACTTAGAGTACTTTTACCTGAAAAAGTATGAAACTTCTTGGTGTTACAGTCGTATTTCACTTTATATTAAAAATGTATTTAAAAATATTTGAAGCCATATGCAGAAGTAATGGATTCTTCCTTTGCTGGCAGCCCTGAAGTCACCAGTATATATATTTTTGGTACACAGGTCTTTGCGCTTTTGAGGCAGGTGGTGGAACCACTGAGCGAAATCCCTGGCCCACCAATATATTTTTACTAAGCAGTGTTTCCTGAAGGCTGTTTTTTTTACCAGGATTGTGATAGATATATGTCCCTTGGAATTGCACAATACTACCAAATTCTAACCATTTCCTCTCGTCAGTTCTGATAACAATGTTGCTTGCCTATATATAT